TCGATCTAAATTAGCGTTCCAGTTGAATTTGAGCACCAAGTTGCTGTCCGTTGAGAGCTGTGTCGGAAGTTAGTGCTGGATAGGAACAGACGATGGTCTGCGCTGAACTGGAGAAGTCGATCGCCACTATCTGTTCGCTGGCAAGGCAGAGCACAGTGACAGTCGAGGCAAGCTTCGAATGCGCTTAGTTTTCCAACTTACTCGTTAAAATCACCTGCGAGAATAACTATATCGGAGCTTCGGCTCAACCGAATGAGTCCGGTGAGTTTATCATAAAGATCGTCCCTTGTGCGTCAGAACTGCGATTGTTCGGTGCATACGCTGAAATGATGAACGAACTCCTTTTGGTGTTGCTTTCTTTTCGGACGCTGATAGACCCTTAGAGTCGCATCACACATAAGCGGCTGTTGACGGGGATCCCATCGAGTAGTGCGGCTGCGGCTGTATTGTTGAGTGCAATGCCCACACCACGCTGACCTACTGAACGGGCTTCGCCATCACCTGACGTGCGGAGGGAGAACCTCGAAGGGAACCCCGGTGAACTCAAGTGGCTTATAGTACTAAGATCCTAGATTCGCGTCTTTGATTCGCAGCAGACGCCATTCCCCATAGAGTCTATTGTACGCGCCAGACACGTTTGTTGACCTACCTGCATCAGTCCTCACATTGAGGGCCCTCAGGCTCAGAGTTTCACGAGGGTTCAGAATCTGGAATCTATTCTGGGGCACACTACGTATGTACTTCACACTTGTCTAAGGACAGACTGTGTCAAGCAAATCACGGTACAATAATCTTTATGAAAAAGAAAAACGTTCCTTGATTGGCTTGTGGGCTGAATACTGCCAGGTTGCCCAGACCAAGGCAGGTGAATTTTCTTGAGAAATCCACAATTAGATCCTTCTGTTGGCCAAAGCTTGATCCGCAAGGCAGCGGGGCGATGTCAAAACCGCAATCCATTGGGAGTCGATGTCCGGTTCATCGGATCATACGCCCTTCAAACGGTCACACGTCCAAGGTGCCCAATACACCTCGATGCCCAATTGAGCAGGTGACCACCGCCGCAACCAGGAAGGTAAGCGTGTGGTTCGTACACCTCATGTTTGGTTGTGAATCAGGGTTGTTTAGCCAACTCCCCTATGTGAACTACCAGTGGTCCACCAACCCGGTTATAGCCTCGAATGTTGATTATTCGTCCTCTCAGTTTGTTGGGAAAACACCCCAACCCCACGAGAAGGCAGTGAGTAGGACTTCCTCAGCAGATGCTATTAGAGACGCTTGGTCGTATGGGAGCATTCTGCGAGGTGTAAGGGAAGGATGACCAGTCGTCACCCTAGACACCCACCCCCGACTATACTGAGGTTTTTGGAGGCAATTAAAAATTGAGAACTACTTACTTGGCAACGAACTTTGGAAAGTGACGAACAAGCTGTCTGAGGGAATATTACGGGTTAGGAGGGATAAAGGTAGAGAGTTGGGAACGGAAGACAAAGAGTTGAACAAAGGTTGGGATATCTGAGCAGCAGCCCACTTGTCACTACCCACCCCGCTCGATGCAATGGACAGCGCGGTCCTGATTATCCTGCGCGACGACAGATGCAGGATGGGATTATTTTTGTTTGTCTATGCCTTTGAGTTTGATGGACGGGTACTACCAGGGTGTCCAGCCACCAAGCAGAACGATCAGGGTTCTCGTCCAAAGCCTTTAGTTCTAACAGGCACCTGACTGCAAGGCAGCGGGTAAAGCTAAGTACAGGCCCATTTACTTGGATCTACTACTCCTCTACCATTTTGCTGACTGAAGCGCTAGCTCCAGTGTAACCCATAAATGGAGAGAATCGATTGTTACATCCATCTACAAGAAGGGCTGTCGCAACGCCTGTTCCAAATACAGAGGCATAAGCCTGATTCCAATAGCACCGAAGCTGCTTGTGTCCGTTTTATTACGCAGGTTAAGCCCATTTCCTGAAATGCAAGTCCACAGGCCGGGTTTCGTGCACGCCGTGGTTGCATAGGTTAAATCTTTACCCTCCGTCAGCTACTAGAACACCGCTACGCATACGGACGACATATCATTACCGTTTTTGGACATCAGAGCGGCCTTTGACTCTATCGATCGCTCCGCACTGTGGAGCTGTTTGCGGAGATACGGAGTACTCGAGAGGTATGTTTTACTCTCAAAAGCGTTCTATCACCAGACCTCGGGGAAGGTTAGGGCCTATGGTGAACTTTCACCCTTAGTTCTTGTCACCAGTGGGTGCGACAGGATTACCCTATCTCTCCGTTTCTCTTCAACATTGCCACAGATGACGTTCTAAAAAACGCGTTGCACAACGAACGCCAGCGTCCAGCTTCTTCATGGAGACAGAGTCGTAGACTTAGAGTACGCCGATGATATTGCCTTACCGGGTAACAACGCACCAACGATTGGAGAGTCCTTGAACCGTTTGGCAATTGAGGTTACTCGCTGTGGTATGTCGTTTGCACCTTCAAAGTGAAGTGTTGTTGCAAGATTGGCATGAACCCATTGCTGCACTTTCGTTGGGTAATGACGCCCTGGAGGTAATCGGAATCTTTGTCTACCTCGGCTAGCGGAGGTGTGGGCGAGATCTCTCAGTGAATGATCAAAGCTAGATTAGCGTTTGCTAATCTGCGAAACCTCTGGCGTCGACGCGACATATCCCTTTCATTGAAAGGGCGTGTACTGCGCAACGGTACGCACCGTGTTGCTCTATGGCTGCGAAACCTAGCCTCTCCGAACAGACCACGTCTAATGACTACCTTCTTCGAAAATCGTTGTCTGCGCAACATCGCCGCGTATGGTGGGAGCATCGCGTGAATAACGATTACGTCAGACGACGCGTGCCAGAATCAGAGAGTCTTCTGTTGAGTAAAATGGTTTCACAGTATCGTCTTGGGTGGCTGGGGCACTTCCTACAAATGCTTGAGCAACGTTTGTCACACCATGCACTATTCGCAGACATCGGTCCAGGCTAGAAGCAACGGTGGGGCAGGCAGGCTATGACGTGGCACAGAGGGTTAAAGAGGCTGCTCAAATCCGGCTTCCGTTGGGGCCCCAAAGATTCAATTAGTCTTTGGGTGGAGACACTGCGTGAAATGACATCGAATCAAAGTCACTGGCGGGAATGCATCCTCAGTTGCGTGCAATCCCGAAAATAAACAGACGAAAAAGACTCAAAATGGCCCGCAGTGAACACAATTTTTTATTCCCCCAAGTTGACTGTTTTGGTCTCTCCACCTCTGAATCTATATTTTTGTTAACCCATGGTTATTTCGGCGCGGTATCTGTAAAGATTAGTGTTATATATATATGCATGTATATATATATATACATATGTCATATATATATATATGATGGGGTTCGACCTCAGCTGTGCTGTGTAAATGCCTTCGGGTTAAGCAGAGCTGAATGCTACCAGACGCGCCCCCGGGTTGTGAATAGGAGGATACACTCATCGAAGGTTAGCTGTGAATAAGTTGTGGCATACCGCAACACATAAGCAGTCGCGAAAAAACAGCGGCGGCACTACCAGGGTGTAGTGGGTTTCAGGCTGGTCCCCTGGCTCCTGTTTAAAAGCCACATGAACCCAATGACGGTGTCGTGACAAGGGTCGATGTGACTGGCCTTTTAAAACTAAAGTCACTGACCCCCTCACTTCCAAGGCGAGGTTACTTCCTGCTGCCTTGCAGTTCGTACCTGGTTGTGCAAAGGCTAGAGGTGCGCCCTCAAAATAAAATGAAATAAAAAAATGCTGGGGACCTCTCGTACCAAACTCCCAAGGAACTTCATGATCACAATCGTGTCTGGAGCCGGCTTATCTTTTCCAAGGAGCCAGTCGCAGTAAAGTAAGTTCCGTGTGAATGCCGGCGCTCCCCAAGTTTCAGTACTTGCGCCCACCCTCTGTCTTATAGTTATCAATGATCTTTCTAAAACCAACTCAATCCGTTATTTTGCCGATGACGCTCTCTCCACTGCTTCCTCTCCTACCACTGCTCGCCATGTCCAAGCCAACACTGATCGTGATTGTAGTTCGGTTAGCGTGTCACCGGGCATCGATCTTGAACACCTCTCCTGGAGCAACCACGTTTCATTTGATGCTTCTTCCTTCTATTCCTCTAAAAATAAATTCCTTCTCCCACACTTATTTTCAATCCCACCCAACTGCGTTCAAAAAACTGTCTCCCTCTTGGATTACCTCCATGCCGGTCCCCTTGTACCTCTCAACTTGCCTTCCTCGTTGCGCGGCTTTATTTATCCCGCGCCAGACGCTTTTACCCTAGCTCACCATTTTTACTGTACTAAGCCGAAATTCGCCCTGCTGTCGAATGCTGCAGTCCCTTTATACACTTACACCAGCACTCAAACTGTCCAGACCAGTTTGAAACTAACCGGGATTTTCACTCAGCAGTTCAATGTCATCTGCACAGTCCATATCAGACAGTTTGGCGTTTGGCAGCAAGTCGAATCCAGTCCTTGCGAGGGGACAAGGCTACTCTCATATTCGAATCTATAACGAATTTAATTAGGACGAACGCAGTTTTCTGTGGTGAACTCGTACAAAAAAGTGCCGTTAGGTCGGAATTTGCTACGGCATTTAGGATTACGAAAATGGCAAAATTGAAATAAACTGCTTGAACACCCTTCAGAGACGCCGATTCTATAGGGTAGTGAAATATTGGAAACTTTCACGACTATTAACTCAAACCAATGTGTTACATTAACATCCAATAGAACCAATCAAAAAATAATGGGGCTTACCTTTGAATGCGATGTGTGGGCTTTCCTCAATCCGATCGCCAGTTGGCGAATGTACACAAAGGCGTGCATGTATGCCTCGTCGAGATTTCTAGACAGCAGCTCCAGCATCGATTGTCTCATGAAGTTTATATGAGGGAGTGTTGATCCCAAAACGAATTTGCAGTTTCGAACGTAAGCCATGAACATTAGCTACGATCATAACATGTTGAACTAATATACTCACTTTGATACTGAGGGCCGTGCATTCTGGGTTAAACTCCAATGCCTTCAATATATTGAGAAACGCAAGGATACGCCTTGAGTCTTCATCTTCACTCCATATTTTTGTCATAAGCTGACACCAATCAAGACAAAAAAATCTTATTACCTTCAAATAAACCTTTTGCATCTTTGGACGTAGCATGAATTTCTTTGCTGCATGATTAATCTTTCTCAGATCTGGAACTGCCTCTTTCAGAAGTGCCTTTAAATTAGACTGAATACGAATAGTCTTTAACAACAAACAACATACAGCAACCATAGTAGTCTGGATGTGAGGAACAGCACGTGCGCCAGCACTATAGCGTCCACTTTGTGTTCTCCGATTCAGGTCAGTTCAAATTCAAATTCAAATCACAGGACGTAGAGAGGCCTTCGC